CTTGATCTGCAGAATGTTCATTTATTATGTTCTGTGGCTCATGTGGATCTTTACTCCTTGCACAAGAGCTCCATGACTTGTCATTATCTTTTTTTTTATTCAGGTCTCCTGCCCACATATTGTTTTCAGTTTCAGGCTCAATTGCGGTCTTCTGTACAACACATCTGTAGGCTCACTAATACAGCTACTTTGCATGTCTGGTTCCAAGGCCACCTTGTATCTCCAATTACAACCATCAAGCAACACCCTCAAAGGTTTTTCTGCTTCTCTATGGCAATGGGAAATTACTGGGTAGATTTGGTCTTTATCTCTGGGGTGTTTGCAACTGAACTTCCTTTATATTTCCATGCTTTCCTTTATATTTCCTTGTCTGAAGTGGTCTCGCTCACGTGACGGGATGAGATTCATGGTGTCAGATGTGGCATTACCATCTAAAGTGCCTGTCCTTATTTCAGAGTGTCCCTGGGCTCTGCCCTGCTGCAGTAAGTTGTCCACATTATCCAGACCACAAGAGAAGCTGTCACTATAAAAATTATATCTCTTCTGAGTTGAAGCTTCTTTCAGGGCTGAAACAAAGAACAGCAAGTGAGAGAAAGAAATACTAAATCTTATTCTGCTCTCTATCCCTGCTGCTTCCATATTGTGCTTATTCATAGTCACGTGCCTGCACAGCACACACCTCCTACATTAATATTCCATCTGTCCCATGTCATAATTCTTATGAGCTCTTCTTGATATTTTTGTGTCCCCAGGGGAAGCCAGGTTATCCCCCAGCTCTAGCGTGGTAGCCAGGGTTAAGTCGTAGTGACTGCTCTTGAGACTTTGAAAACTCCACTGGCACATGCTTTATCTGGCTTGTCCCCCACCAAAAACATATTTGGAGAATTAAAAGTGGGCTTTGGGATTGGTTTGATCAGAGGAGCTTATGCAAGCAAGCAGATGGGCAGGATGCCTGGCTTTCAAATGATCACATTTACAATTTAGCCAGAGCATAAAAGCTCTCTTGTTTTTTTACACTTGAAAAGCAACCAGCACTATGCAGCCCTTCAATGACAACATGGCTGTAAAATGCATTTCCTCCACACTATCCCGTGGGAAATGTTTGGACAGCAGTCAAAGTGGGAAGAAAAAAAAGATGGAAACTGGCAGAAGTAAGGTATTACAACACTGGAATACTGGATCTTACCACAAACAACATATGGAAAGTCCTTTAAAATAGGAAACCACAAAGCTGTCTATAGATGTCTGACTGTCAGAGCATTCCCATGCCAGAAAGCAATTGGTTTCCTGGTATCTAGCAGTGAGTTTCAGCTGGCCTGACCAGCTCAGGTGTGCTCCAACTCTATTGCTATAATCTGTATCTAAAAGGTGTCATGTCATAGGCATGATGTTTATAAGGGCAACCCACAGTGCTGCTGGAATTATGACTAAAATGTGTTGGGTTGTGTCATGATCATGAGGGTTAGCCAGCAGCCTAGGGACTAAGAGGTTAACTATGTCCCTTACCTAGCCAGGTGGAGTGGCCAATAGGAATGTAGGTAGGAATTTCAAACTGGGACAAAGGAATTTTTGGTTTTTCCCTCCTTTGTTCTGGACCGTTCTCTCCCATCTATTGAGGGGGACAGACACTATGTCTCCCTCCGAAAAGACTGTTTCTTCACTTTCTGTAAGTAGGGTAAAGTTTAGATAAATCCATCAGGTTTCATTGTTTTATGGTTTGGGTATGGGATCTGCTGTCTGTGCACTTTTTAAAAGATGTTTTGGCTTTTCTTTATAACTAAGTTCTAGACTATGGAGTTCTTCCATGAGTATATTATTGGTTACTTTTCCATCTAGCTATTATGCTTGCAACAGGAAGATTGTGGTGATAATAAAAGTTTTCTCTTTTCCTATTATTAACCTGGTATTGGTTAATGGTGGTGACCTGCTTTTTACTTTAGGGGTGAGATTTTCCTAAATGGTCTCTCCCCTGGTTTCTTCTATTAATTTGGGTGGTGGCAGTGGAGATTCTGTCCCCAAAATCTAGGGTTTTAAGATTTTGGGGGGAAGTTTTATACCAAAGCCTGGTAGATAAGGTTTTGTGGTGCACTTGCTGGCCCCCACTTCTGCATTTATCGTGCCAGAGCTGGGAAGATGAAAAACAATTCCCCCCTCCTCCCCCCAAAGAAATGCAGTTCCACCTGTATGAATGCATCTCCCATGTAAATTAAGCAAAGTATGAGCAAAGAAAAGCACATCTGTATGCTAGACAAATAGCCATCAGGAGAACAAGTTGGGAAAATGATCACTTAATTTCAACAGGGTCTAGAGACAGCACCCCCACAAAGACTTTCTGCCTCCTGAAGCAGGGACAATTAACTTTGAGAGAGACTTTTCAAAGGTTTACAAGACTATACAGCAAGGGGAATAGAAACCATAAGTTATTCTTCCCCTGAGGAGACAAGGAAAAGCAACACTTTGCACTCTGTAGGGATCCTGACTAAGCTAGTCAGCTGTTGCAGGAAAAGGAAGACTGATGAGGAAACTACCTTGAACAAAGAATGTAGCTTGTTAAGGTAGATCAGTGGTCCCCAACCTTTTTGGGTGGCGGGCGCCGCGTGTGACTGTCGGGCTCTCTGGGGGGGTGCTGCACGCCCGGGGGCAGGGCCATGCATGCACCGGGTGCCCGGGGATGGGGCCATGCATGCACTGTGCTCCGGGGGGCACCGCATTGGGGACCACTTAGGTAGATCTTAGTCATTAGAAAGCATAGTTGTCTTGCATTTGTTTGTAATTGTCTTTTTCCCTGTAACTGAACCCTCTTAAAACCTCTTTTTTGATGGAATACACTTACTTCACTTTTTACCAAACCCAGTGCTGAGGCTGAAATGATTGTCAAGATTACCAGCTTTTGGGTCTGTTTCTTTCAAGGAGTCCTGAGTGGTCCATGTGGGGGATGGACATTGCAGGGAGACTGTTTGGGGGAAATTCAGGCCTGGGGGGAATGTTGGGATCATTTTACAAACTCTTAACGGGCTGGTGCAAGCAAGGTATGGCCTAAATGCTTGTCAAACCAGCTGTTGGTGTCAGGGGTATGAACCACAGCTCCCCAGCATTTAAAGCACTCAAAGTTGGAAGGCAGGTGGTAATAACCCCCTACTGGTGTGAACTGAACACCAAAATTGTTGGGATATGTACAAATTAATAGGGGTCTGGAATGGCTATACATTAGCGGTAAGGGGTCCAGCCAAAGCAGGAATTGTTTATTCTTTTTGTTTTTCTGTTTGAAAAGATAGATACAGAGTAGATAGATGGGGTCTGTCCAAAGCAGGCATTTTTTTAATATATAGTGCCAAATTATTGCTCACTCAAAACATTATATGGGGGGGGGGAGTCCAAAAAAAGCCCAAGTATCTGCAATAAAAAGGTCTGTTTACCCCCATCCACTCCTGGGTCGCCTGTTTCTTCTCTAACAAAAACATCACAAAATGCTTTAAAAAAAACCCTGACAACAGTCAGAAGGAATGTTACAGGCCTGGTAACTGTAAACATTTTTGGCCAGGATAACCTGTCCTCTCTTTAGCAGAGGATAAATACCAAACAGTGCAGACTTTGGTCTGTTTTAGGATGGAACCCAGTTTCTACTCACCTTTGCTGACTGCTTCCTGCAAAACAGCCAGAACCATTTCTTCATAAATATTTTCAACATTGATGATGCCACTGAAGTCGGCAAACACATAATTTTCATATTTGGACAGCTTCTGCCAAAGGTGGTAAAAGAGAGGGGAAATCAGCCAATACCAGTTATAGATACACCTCACACACATAGATAAGCAGGGCCAGCCTTGGATTACATAGTAACCAAAGTGAACCAAAATTCGGAGTTCTGCTCCATCTTGGAACAAATGGTCATCTGAAATTCCAATAGCACCCATTAGTGGCTGGCCCTGCACAATGTAGTGTGTGTATTTATAGGTTCAGAAGGAAAGTGGAGCCACAGGGCTGGTGTGTTTAAACCCTGTTTGCCTGAAGCTGGGAATGAGTGACAGGGAATGGACAGCTTGATGATTGTCTGTTTTGTTTATTCCCTCCAGGGCATGTGGCATTAGCCACTGTCAGAAGATAGGATACTGAGTTAGATGGACCTTTGGTTTGTCTCAGTCCAGCCATTCTTATGGTTAAACAGCCAGAAGGGGAAGTATTCACTGGAATTAGTTCAAGCTCCCCAGAAATCTGGGGGAAAATTAATGAAGTTCAGGATCAAGTTTCCCAGACTTCTGATGACTAAAGACCAAATTTAAATCTCTTCAGGACACAGTGCCTTCTATCACCAGACCACTGACATGTACCAGGACTGCCTTCAAAGGGAGTCAAACTTAACCATTATCTGGTACAAGGTACTGAGTTAGGCTGGTAGCAGTGCAGAAAAACAACAAAATGGAAGAGGAGATTTTGGGGAATCATTTACATGGCTGGAAGAGTCATAAAGTGAAATAGAAGTCGATTCATTAGCCTCTGGAGGGAGTTAAACTGACTGCTTGTTAAGAGTGCCCTACATTTTGGTGGCACTGAAGAACCTGTAATACTGCCTAAGGCCTCTCCTCTCTTCAGAGTCTCAATCTTGCCATACTGGAAACCTATAACAAAGGGTCAGACTAAATGATATAATTCTATAAAAGACATTAAGGGGAAAGAGGATTCTCCCATTAGTCCGCTGAAGTTGACTGGGCTAGCAAAGCATTTCTGAAAAATAAAAGGTATTAGTTTGATAAAATAAAATCAGCTTGGAAGAGCATCAGTTCACACATGAGGTTTGGGTCCCTTCATCATTCAGAATCAGACCTCACCAGTTTACATATGGGCTCCAGATTCTTCAGCAGAAAAGGAAGGAAGATCTGAACCAACCACTCTTGTGCAAACTGCTTCTGGATGGAACTGCTGTCATAGTCCAATTTCTGAAAACCAACCACAACCAAATTTCAAAAGGAAACAGCAGAACAGTCAGGAAACTTCCCCACAACCTCTTCGGCATCTATCTATCTACAGCAGTTAGGGACTGGGAAACACGAGGAACAAAGTTTTCAAGGCAGCGTGCAGAGCACGAGAGCCAACAAGTGCAGACAGAGTAAGATCCACAGAAACAGGATTTTACACAAACAGAAGTTAAGCGCGTCACCTTCAGCACACGATCCTTGATTTTTTTCAGAGTCTGGGTGATTTGGCTGTGGTTGGTGGCCAAGCTCAGATGTTGCTCTGAAAGCTTCTGGAATGTATGAATCGAATTCTGCATTAGCTATAAAAGACAAAAAAAGATCAGCTCAGAGCGGAACACATAGGGAATGAATGCACTGTCCCTTCTCTCTACCTTCACTAACAGGTTGCCTCCACCCAGACTGTTTTCTCAAAGTATCACCACTTACCTGCTGCATGAGATTTTGTGCTTCAAGGATTAAACATGCCACACCATGAAAGCCAAATCTCTCCTTCAGTCCTTGCAGACTGTTCTTGTAGAGATTAGCCTTCTTGTAACATCGCTCCATGAGTCCAGGTTTCCAGGGCATTTTCCCAAGTGAGAGAACCTGTGTCAGACCAGCAGTTAGCTAGTGAAAGTCTGCACAGCACCTAGAGGCAATGAAAGCCTGCCTAAATGCTAAGAATAAATATTACATGCAAAGGGGTCTCCATCCCAAGCAACGTAAAACTGAAAAGAAGGCATCTCCTTGCAGAAGAACATTGACTACTTGTTTTTGGAGCCATGTTTATCCCACAATACCTGTTTATGGGTGATTCATGAACATGCAGTAGAATACCCGAGCAGACTGAGTCAAGTGCTGACACTATATTCTCATTTAACAAAGTGGCCTCCCTTTATCAAGCTGCCTCTGTGGTGAAGTCAGACTCCAAACAGCATATGGCACTGATCTGAATGAACTGCCTTGTGGGAGGTGAAAGTTGCAAGAGCTCACCATCCTCACAATTATCTCCTTTCTAGTTGGGGATCAGGGAGCCGTTTTCCCCCATTATGCAGTTCTGCACAATTTAGATGCATTTTGCAATGAGGAGGTGATTATAAGTGTTCTACAGAGTACTGAAGCAGGTGAATCACTAGTGTTCCCTGGGTCTAGGGGACAAATGGAATTAAGTTGCCATCCTCAATATTGAAAGCGGGATGTAAGGTGTTTTCCAGGGGAACAATAAAATGGTCCCTCTATCAATGTTATGTCTTACCTCTTCCTGCAAGTTGGTGATCGGCAAACTCTGCACATTTCTAATTATCTCATCAATTTTGTCTGTGAAGAGTGAATGCACCATGTCAAACCCTAAGCTGATGGGGTGTATGAGTTCCTCCATCACACAGTCCAGGTGAGGCTCTATTCCTTGGCGACAGCAGGATTCTGCTGGGCTCTGGACCACCACTGCCAAGATGGAAACTCCTCAATTAGCCTAACAGAGTCACAGTGGAACTCAGGTTGCCCTGGACTAATTAGACTTAAGTAGAAGACTGCAGGGTTTTGGAATATGAAATGCTCATCCATCCACCGATCCTTTATTTCGGATGTGCCCATCCCCTCAATTTCTGTCTATCTAGGGTACCCATCACAATAGCTTCTCATCATAAATACAGTAATCAAAGTTCACACAGCATTATCTAAAACAGTAAGAAAATGAACTTGTTACCAACCCAACCTCTCCAGGGGAAGCTAATGCTGCACACACAATCTCAGAATTTCAGATACAACAGAGAGAGTTAGAATGCCAAAGCAAAGTAAATCCCATGGATTAATAGAAGAAAACCATATACCACCCCCCTTCAACCTTGGAGTTTTCTAGATATCTGATCCTTTAAAGTCAGCATCTGATCCAGATCAGGGCGAATCTTCTTTTCCAACTGCAAATGGAGTTTCTCATTTTCCCTCTGAAAATTCAGGAATTCGTTGGAGACCTGGCTGAGGACCAATGTATAAACCTCCTCCAGGAACTGAACAGACACAGCAGGGCC